GGCCGCCGACGGCGATGACAACGGCGGCGGCGAGGCGGCGAAGCTTCTTGGCGCATGACGCCGTCGGGGCAGGCGCCGTCAGCGATCGCGCAGTCGGGGCGCTGTCGTCGTCGCCGCCATCGCCTCTTCCCCTTCCTGCTCACGTTTGTTCCTGGGGCGTTTCGATCCGCAGCCGCAACGCGCAACCTGCAACGCACTGCGCGCCAACCTTTCGATGTTCCGAACCAAACCACCCGAAACCGAACCGCCCAAGAGAACAAAAAAAAACACGAAACGGCTCAAACCGAACTGGCGCCGAACCCGAGCCGCTACAACCGAACCGGCCCGCTGCCACACCGACCCGAACAGGCACCGTGCTGAGCAAAGGCGCAGTGGACAAATGTAAAATCAATAGACCCATCGGCCTGCTTGTTTTTCGTATATATATATATATATATATATATATATATATATATATATATATATAAAAGAGAGAGGGAGAGAGAGAGAGAGAGAGACTAGTTGCAAGCCTCGTGCTCCGACGCCTCCAAGAAGCAGAAGCTATAGACCAGCTCACTCCGACGCAATTTGGGTTCCAGCGCGGGCGCGGCGCATCAGACGCAGCGCATGCAGTGTGGCGACGCGTCGAAGCAGCTGACACACGCGAAGCAAATTGAGTAGCAGCCCGTGAACTGGATTGGAAAAAAAATTAAGACTCGATCAACCCCAGGGCCGCCTTCGAAGCTGCAAGGATATTCGGTGCTCCGCAAAGGCGTCTGAACATGATTGGTCACATTCTTGAACCAAGGACTTTCTACGCGACGGAGGGGGCGCGCAAATCCCAACAACGACGCCAATGTCCGCAAATCTCCCAGGGTTGCCCACGGCGCACGAGACCGACCCACTCGACGAGGCCGACCACGACCTCCAACATCTCACTGGAGCAGCAGCCTCGCCGGAGCAACGCGCCCAGCGCGGCCCCCGGAGCCGCCGCGGGCCCCCGCGCTCGATGGACATGCGCCGGCGCCACCCGAGCCCCGGCCCGACCAGAACACCGTCGGCGGAGGCGCCCAACTCTTCGTGGAACGCGAGCCCCCGGGCGCACAAGAGGTAGCCGCGTCGTAACGGAGCCCAATCACTAGCGAGAGGTCGCGACCGAAGATGTAGAAGTGGCCCGCGCAACCGGCGAGGACTGCGGCGGAGGCCGACAGCAACGCCGGCTCGGCCATCATCCACGACTGGAAAGCCCGCGAATCCCGCCACAGCGATAGCTCGCATGGCGACGGCCTTGCAGGAGCGAGTGGCCCACGACCAACCCATGGACGAAGCGCGGCCCAGGGCCATTGCTCGCCTGGATGGCCTGGCCACCCACCTCGGCGATGCCCGCGAGAATTTTGGGCGACAGCGCCGGCAACGCGAACTGGTCCTCCACGCCCGACGCGGGCCGCAATCGGCAAGAGGCATTGCAGAGGGCCCCGCTCGCTACGTAGACCACGAGCTTGCCCGACTCAGCCGATGAGACCGCGGCCGCAATCGGCAGCGCGAGCGGGCGGAGCTGGATGGAAGAAAGCGCCAGCATGCCTGATGCGCTGCTTCTCCGACCTCTTATTCACGAAAAATAGACGCCCATCATGTGCTTGGCAGACGCAGCCACCTCGAAGCGCTGCGTGCCACCACGATGACGCCGACGCACAAACTCACCATGCAAAACTGGGCCCCGCGCCAGACGAGGGCCAACGAAAGGTCCGCGAAGGCAAGCGCGGCAGGCCCCAGACAACGCCTCTCCGGGCGCCTTGAGCCAAGTGTGTCGCCAGTCCCTCGCCAAGTCAGAAACGCCCTGAGCGAGGCAGCACACAAGGTCAGCTGGGCACGCCCCAGTGCCAGGCCAGGAAACAAGCTCCTTGGAGTACGGGGCGCGCCGCCGTCGTCGGAGTAGACAGGAGCCGCTGAGAAGATCGCGAAGGCTTCTTCACACCAAAGTGTTCACTCGGCATCGCGTCCATGCCTAAGTAGCAGTCCTCTCAAGAGTCCAAGCTGGTCTGCTACGCCATCATCGACCACTGCAGCAGGAAACCGGAGCGACGTACCCGCTGTCGAACAGCACGACGGGGGCGGTGGGCGGCGACACGGGTCGACAGCCAGGCCACGTGCGGCAACGGAAAAGCATCTCGGCGACGTGGACCACCGAGGGCGGCACGACCGCCGCGAAAATAGACCGAGTGCTCGAGCTTTGGAGCTCGAGCTGCGCCCCTGCCGCCCTTGTCCTTGGCCTTGCCTTGCCCTTGTGCGCGTCCTGGTCCTTGCCTTGTCCGTGTCCTTGCCCTTGCCCTTGCGCTTCGTTTTGTCCTTGTCCTTGCCCCTGCCGCCCTGCCTTCCCTGGCCTTCGGGAGCGGGGGCGGACGGGCGCCCCTCGCGCGCCATCCTGCCCTCCACGGCCGCGGAATACCCCACCCAGGCCGACGTCACGGTTGACATGCGCCAGCAGCTGGGGATGCGAGCGCCCGTGGGTCCGAACCGACGAGGTGCCGAAGAAGAGATAACGGCCCAGCGACGCATCAGCGCTAGTGATGGACAGACCACGCCCCCTCCCCTCCTCGACTTGGATGTCACAGCAGATCGTCTTCACCGCCGCCTCGTCCGAGATCTCCAGTAGGTCAAAGCATACCATCTGTTCGAGGTAGAAGCCACGGCGCTCGGGCTCCGCCACGCCGGCGTCGGTCTGGACGAACAGGCTCTCGTTACGCCACCAGCTCTGGCACTCCAGGCACTGCCATTGCCCACAGAGTCGGGCAGGGACCCTCGACGAGCCCGTCTGGCCACTCACGCTGCGCGAAGCGGATGGCCGCCCCCTGCAAGCCTACCTGCCGGAAGCCGAGGAGATAGCCGACCTACACCTCGCCGGGGAAGTCGCCCCACTGCAGCGCATCCGCGGAGCCCACGAGGACCCCGTCGTTTTCGTGATCACCCGAAGCGAAGATGCTCGCCGCATCCGGTTGCCCGGGAACGCCCGGTGCCGGCGGGGAGGCGTCGCCTCCACGAGCGCGGAGTGAGGCGATGACCGTCACCTCGTCTGGGACCCCACAAGACATGAACGAGCGGCCATCGATCAGGACCACCCCAGCAGAAGCCGCCAAGATTGCGTCAGCGGGTGACGCACTGCGGTCGGTCGCGATAAGGTACCTGAACACCTCGACCCGCGCCTGGCCCACGGTGCTCTACAGGCGCTGGCGCATCCGCGGTCCCAGAAATCGCGCACCATGAAGAAGGCCTCGTCCAACTCGGCCTGATCCAGGGTGAAAAGCGAATCCCCAAGAATGTGTCCAGATTCCGAGGGCCCACGTCACAAACATGTGGGGTGTCTGGCTCCCCAAGCGAGTTTCGACACGAATCCCGAGGCAAGTCTTGCAGACGAGAGAATCCCACAAGGCCCAAACAGGCGAAGACGAACGAGCGGTACACTTCTCTTGGGCAACGAAAAACACACAAGGAAAGGGAGGAGGAGAGGGAGGAGGAAAGGGAGGAGGAGAGGGAGGACGAAGGAGGAGGAGGAGGAGGAGGAGGAGGAGGAGGAGGAGGAGGAGGAGGAGGAGGAGGAGGAGGAGGAGGAGGAGGAGGAGGAGAGGGAGGAGGGAGGAGGGAGGAGGGAGGAGGGAGGAGGGAGGAGGACCCACTTTGCGCCGGAGGCGCCGCCAGGGGGGTCCACCGCCGACCGAGGAACTCCACACGGACATTGGAAGAGCTTTCGGGCGACACGACCACATCGCGAATCGAAAGGTCGCTAGTGAAGGAGCCCTGGGACACACAAATTCGCCGGCCCAACGGGCCAGAGGCGTGCTAAGATCTCCGGTAACTGGTTAACAATATTCTACTTCGCGCGCGCGGGCGGCCCCTGGGGGTCTTCGGGCGAAAAATACCCCGGCAAGGTCCCGGCAAGGTTCCGGCAAGGTCCCGGCAGGTCTGGGTCAGAGATGCCGGACCGGGCAATTTTTCGACACCCCTCACGAGGATCGTGGCCTCCGAGGGGGGAGCCGCAATCGACTACCCCCCCTCCCGCCCCAAGAGGCCCCCAAGAGCCCCCCAAGAGGCCCTGGGGGCCCCCAAGACGCCGCCAAGGAGACCCAAGAGACTCCCAAGAGGTCCCCAAGAGGCCCCCAAGAGGCCCTAAAGAGGGCTCCAGGGCCGGCGGAATGAGCGAAGCGATTAAATGAATAGACACAAATAACAAGATTCCCCATATTTTCCAAATATTTTCTAGGTTTGTGTCTTCCCCCCCTGGTGTTTTCCCACAAATAAAAAACTGCACGGGCAACACGACCACATCGCGAATCGAAAGGTCGCTAGGCAAACCTGGAACACCGCACAAGCTGATCTGCAAGAGGCAAACTCACGCTGTGAAACGTGGCCTACGCGGCACATCGACGATGCAGGAGGGAGGAGGACGAAGGAAGAGGAGAGGGAAGGCCGTTCGCCACCGAGAGTGGTATTGAGTGGCAGGTGTAGCTGCAGTGGAGGGCTTAGCGGGCGCCGGCGCCTTCTCGGAGCGTCCCCGATCGCTCTGGTAGCGTTCGGGAACGCTCTGGAACGGATTTGTCCTCGTCCTAGCCCCGTCCGCCCTGGCTAGCGCAGGAAACATCGGTGCACCACCACCATGCCTGACCAGGCCTGTCTGGGGCCCTGCCATGGCGCGTGCGCCCCATGCCTGAGGTCGGGAAGCTCTATGCAACATCGTGGGGTCCCAAGATGGCCATGGTCAGGCACAACGGTGGTGCATAAATGCCTGCTGCGGATCGTTTTGCGTCTCCACAGGTTCGGTAATCATGTGGTCCGTTTCTACAACACCTGGCTCCCGATTCTGCGAACTGTAAAAAAAACTGAACACCGAGAAGGGGCAGAACACGGCGCCAGAATCGGAACCAGCAACGGGGAAACAAAACGGCGACTGAACACGACAAACGAACAGACACAGCCGGAACCGAGAAAAACACAGCCCTGCCGTTTCCAAGGCCCACTGAGGTCGGTGCTGGTCTCGAACTTGGACGGCGGCGGTGGCGAGGGGCTCGCAGCTCCGACGAGCTGCCGTCCACGGAGACGAAGAGGCCGTCGCAGGAGGCCACCGCGAGCACCCCTGGTGCCAGCGCGGCGGGCTGCAGGAACGCGGCGCCGGCATCGAAGATCGACACCTCGCGCCGAGTCGTCGTCGTCAACGTCGTCGTCACCGTCGTCGTCAACGTCGTCGGCGGCGGCGGCGGCGGCGGTGACGGCGGCGTCGGCGTCGGCGCGGTGTCGGCCACATCCCTGCGGGTCAGAGGACTGAAAAATGGGGTTGGGGTCCAGATTTAAAAGATGCCTGCAGCAACGTGAGCCCCAGGGGGCGCCGACACCCCAGCCTCGGCTGGATCCGCAGGGTAAGGTGCGCATGAGGTCGGGCATTTCCTTCTACAGGCGGATTGGGTGAAAAACACACACACACTCAAGACAGGTAGCCACGAAGTAATCGACTAATCGTCACCACACTATTTTTCAAGCAATCACGAATACCCCTCCTGTAGAGGGACATACCAAACTTACGGTTCGCAACGGGTTGCAGAACTGACCAGTTGGTCGTGCTCTGGCGAGCGCGGCCTGCGCATCGTCCAACAAATCACAACCACGGGTTAGGCCGCCCCTGGGTGGTCCATAGGTGGCAACAAGCCGGCGGAGCGCTCAGGGAGGTAGGCAGAGGGGGTGGGCCTTCTCAGAAGGCTCAAGAGGCACCCGACAATCTGAGAAGCTCTCTGACCCTTCTCCGAGCCTCAGCGGGCTCCTCAGCGGGCCTCTGAGAAGCCCCGCCGACTTTGGAGGCCTCCCAAAACGGGGTCATAGAAGATGGGGTCGGAGGATCGCGCCGCATCGCCGGCCGATGCACCGCCGCCATCAGCGTGGAAAAATCGGGCTCCGCGTCGAGCCGTATCGCCGATGCATCGGTGATGGAACTTGACCCTCATGCTCGGACTCCACCTGGAAGGCCTGGATTCTCACATCCATCCTCTTTGGACGCCCGAAACTGGTACGGAAAGAACGGGCATCATGCCGAACGGCACACCTTCTCCAGGCCAAAGGCGGCCGCTGTTGCGCAGGCAGTCTGCTCTCGCACAGGGACAAAGTCCGCGGCGACGCCGACAACGAGCCCAAGCCGGAATGTGTACGCATCACTTCCGTACTCGACCCTGAGACCCCAGGACGTCCATGGATTTTTTGCGTGGGAGCGCCGCGCTTTCCAGGGCAAAACCGTCGAAGCTCAAGAGACCCAGGGCTCCCTGGAGGCAAGCAGGGTGTTTCTTGGCACGGGCCTCCAGCCCGTTTCGATGGTCCCGATCATTGGCGCGCCGCCGAGCAAAGAGGAGGAGCCCCGCCCGCGCCTGAGGCGGCACGACTGCGCGGGCTCGCCCCCGTCGCAGAGGCCGCGGCCACGGGGGGGGCGGCTGCTGCGCCGCCCGGAGCTCAAGGCCCGTCGGGCCCTCTTCGGGCGCTGCTTCATGCGGGGGGCGAGAAACGGAAGGGGGGGGGGAGGGCACTTTTCGCGCCCCTCTTGGACCCCAGGGGGCTCCTCTAGAGGGCCCCTGAGGGGGCACCAGAGGTGCGCCGTCCATGCCCCTGTTGGGCACCGGGGTGCACTCCTGAGGCCCCGTGAGGGGGCACGGCAGTCGCTCAGTTCCTCGCCCCCCCCATTACGCAGCGCCCGACCTCTCGCTGGCGCCAGCCTTCCGGCCAGAACTGGGGCCGCGATCCTCGCGGGCGCAGCGGCGTGAGGCGGCGGGGGGCGGAGGGCACGATCGCCGTCGTCGTCGCCGTCGCCGTCGGCGTCGTCGTCGTCGGCGTGTCGGCCGTCGTCATGGTCGTCGTCGTGGTCATGGCCGTCGTCGACGGCAGCGGCATCGTCGTCGTCGTCGTCGTCGTCGTCTTCGTCATCGCCGTGGTAGTGGTCGTCGTGGACGTCGCCGTCGACGTCATCAACGTGGTCGTAATCGTCGTCGTGGTCGTCGGCGGCATAGCGGTCATTGTCAACGGCGTCGGCGTCGTGGTCGTCGTCTTCGTCGTGTTCGCCACGGCCATCATGCTGCTGCCACGACCAGGTGCGGCAGCAGCGTACTGTTCAAGAACGTCTGATGCTGGCACGATTGGAGACGGCCCCCTCCCCGCTGATCTTGCTGTCCTTGCGATGTCCGAAAGGGGCCGCAAGCGCGAAACCGACCATGTGCTGCGAACTCGCGTGGCGATCCCCGATCCAACCGCCCCAATCCCTGCTCGCATACGTCGCCTGACCGCGTGCTTCGCGCCGCGCGCCGCGCGGTTGTCTCCACGGCGCGCACCGTGAGCTGGCGCGCGCAAAAAGCGGGCAAGGCGAGAGGGGGTGGTTTTCTAAGACGGCCGCGTGCCTCTTGCAGGGAGCCCCCCCGAAGGTCCAAGAAGGCCCGAGGCCGCGAGGCCGTTCGCGGCGGCAGCAAGACCGAAGACCGACCGAACCGACGGCGAAGCCGAAACCGGCCGAGATCGGCAGGCCGCATGCAGCCCCAAGCGGGCGGAACGGCGCGGCAACGGCACAAGAGCCGACTGCAGCGAACCAACCGAACGCCACCGACTGCGGCGCAAGCGAGACGACTGAATCGCGAGCGCCTGGGGTGCCTACTGAGAAAGAGATGGGCCCCTTTCCCGCAGCTGCGCGCCGAGAAGCAAAGCGCGCGTGTCTCCGCACCCCCGGCCCTCTGCCCCCCCGAGTCGTTCGTGCACCGATCGGGTGCCTCCTCCCGCGCGCCGCCCTCCCAAGTGGCGCGTGTCCTCCCTCTCCCGCCCAGTGGGAGCGCCCATCCCCCCCATCTGGACATTCCCCGTCGTTCCTGGCTGGCGCGCCCACCCCCAAAAGGTGGGTGCTGCCACAGAAGTGTGTGCACCGATCAGGTGCGGCGGGTCTGGGACAGGTCGGCTGGATCAGTGACATGGGCGCTGTGCATATCTGGCTGGCGCGGCGACCCCGTCGGCCAGCTGGAACAAGGCTCCTGGGCGTGGCCCCGTGCTGCTTCTGGTGGCGCCTCCCGCCCCCGCTGCCTCACGTCGGCCGTGCGTCCCGCTGGTGCCGCTACTGGGCGGCCTCTCTGGCAGCTGCGCGCCGGGAGGCGCTTGCCGGGCACCGCTGGGCCGCCTGCCCCGCTGCTCCTGCAGGTGGACGCCCGCGCCTGGCCGGTCCTGCGGCTGTGATGCGTGCACCGGCCGGGTCGGCCGCCCTCTCCCCCCCGCGTGCCGCCCCACCGGCGGGTACTCCCGGTTGGTTGGGGGCCGCCTCGCCCAGTCTCGGCGGCTCCGCCGCCGCAGCCCACGAGCCTGTGGCCCGCAGCAGTCGCTCAGCAGTTCAGCTGCTGCTCAGCCTCCAACCAGGCATGTCGACAACACTGTGCTGTCCAGCCCATCGGGCCCAACTCCATCGCCGCTCGCTGTCGACCCGCATCCTGCTCACGCCGTTTCCCCCACAGCAGACGCCGTCTCCCACGGCTACATGAAGGAACACTCGGATGCTCCCGCTCTCGCTGCTATGGGCCCGCTTGCCGTTCCTCCCGTGCTGCCACAACTTGAGCCACGCCTTCCGCGCCTGCAGCCCGTGCCTCAGCCCTTGGGCGTGCCCGACATGCCGCTCCGCGACTACATCCAGGCTGCTCAGCACGGGTTGGCCGAACCAGCCACTCCTGACGAAGGCCTTCGCGCCGTGAGTGCCCTCCCTCTTCCTCCCCGCTCTGTAGCCGCCCTCCGCCCCCTCCCTCTCTCTTGCCGCCGGACACTGAATTCGCCCTCTCCCGGCTAACTCGCGCGCGCGTGCGGATCGCCTCTGCCGCGCTGCGACGAGAAACCAAGTATCCTGGCGAAGGGCCCCACCATATGCATTTGTGAGTATCGCCGCTGTGGGTATCGCCTTCGGTGGATCTCTTCTTTTGTGGCCACGAAGATTGTGAAGGCTGTGCCGAAGTGGGGCGGGGACGCATGCGGGCGCAGCCATTGGGGCCTTCGGTACCGCTCCCCATCTGGGGCCACGAAACGTGTGAGGGGTGTGCCGGGATGGAGCGGCGCCGCCATGTGAACGTCGCCACTGGGGCCTGCGGTGGAGCTCCCTGCGGGGCAACGAAGTTTTGTACTGGAGGGGGGAAACGCATGCGGGCGCCGCCACTGCGGCATTCGGTGGAGCTCACGGTGGAGCCACGAAACGCTGTACTGGAGCATGCGGGCACCGCCGCCGGGGAATTCGGTGGAGCTCCCAATGGGGCCACGAAACGCTGTACTGGGTGGGGGAAACGCTTGCGGGCACCGCCACTGTGGCCTTCGGTGGAGCTCCCAATGGGGCCACGAAACGCTGTACTGGGTGGGGGAAATGCTTGCGGGCACCGCCACTGGGGCCGTCGGTTGAGCTCCCTATGGGGCCATGAATCCATTTACTAAGTGGGGGAGACACATGCGAACCATGCCACTGGGGCCTTCGGAGGAGCCCCCCATGGGGCCACGAAGCGTCTGAGGGGTGTGTCAACGTGGAAGGGGGGGGCGGTATGCGAACCATGCCACTGGGGCCTTCGGTGGAGCTCCCTACGGGGCCACGAAACGCGCAAGGGGCGTGCCAACGTGGAGGGCAGAGGCAAGGACAAAGATGGGAGCAGGGAGGAGCGGGAGAAGGAGGAGGAAGGGGAGGCGCAGGAACTGTCCCTTCAAAACGAAGACCCAACACCGCAAGATGGCTGGGAAACCAAAAGGTACCGATACCGCCAGGATTTCGAGGCGAATCCAGCGGTGGCGACGACAGCCTCCCAGGAGGCCCAAAAGGGGAAAACGGCCGAAGGATAGCGGTATGAGTACCTTTTCCTCCTCTGAAGGGTGGCTGGGAATATATTTCTCCGCGCCCCCCCCGCTCTCGCGGCCCGGGAGCGGGGGCACACCCTTGGGCCCCCTGACGTCGAGAGGTGCGATCTCCCCTCGCCCAGAGGACGCGGGGCGAGCGCGGACGAGATGCGGCGACAGAGGACGAGGGGGTACAGTCAACCCGCATCGTAAAGACGGGCAACCTTCCCAAGAGTAACCTTGCAGCCTTCCTCCTCGGCCCATCCTTGGCCGCTTTCGCGGGCCGCGCCCCGCTTGCAAAGTGCCGGCATGGCCTTCCAGGGCCCTTGCATCCTTCCCGCGCGTGCTTTTGTTACAAGCTGACTGTGTGCTGCATCGTCGGGAGACCTTGTCTGTCCCGCCGCGCCGCGATCCGCGCCGAGTCCGTGTCGGATCCGTGCCGATCGCGTGGGTCCGCACCAGATCCGAGTCCACGCCGCAGTCACGTCGAGTCCGCCTCGAACCCACGTCGGAGCACAAGGAACGACTGCCATTGACTAGGGGGCCACATGCGAACCCTACCCCTTACCCCCCCGATTTCTGAGGGGGAGGGTGCGCACGTGGCCCCTTAATCGACAGGACAGGGCAGGCCCCCCGAAGGTGCTGCGAGGCAAAGGCAGGGCGCAGACATGGCGGCGGGGGCAGCGACGGAGACGCGGCCCGTTCCGGGAGGCGCCCGGGTCACCCGGCTTCGCGCGGCGCGGCTCGAGTCGGGTCGGGCACGTCCCCCACAGGCGGACCTTGGACGAAAAATTTGAAGTATTCCCAAAACACCCAAACATAAGCAAAAAGAGTCCCAAATAATGAACAAACATCGTCCCCAGGCTATGCCATGACTATGTTTGAACATTCCTCCTGTGGAGGGACAAAGCTCGACTTCAGGCTCGAGGAGCACGAGGCGCGTGAGCGTCGCTCCCTCGCGCCCCACCCCTGGGGGGGAAGGACGGCCGCTTGCGGCCCCGACCGCGCAGAGTGCGACTCCCTTCGCGCCCCTGCGGGTACAGTCGGCCTTGATTGGACAGGACACGCGAGAGGACACAAGACCCTTCCAAGTACCACATCGCCATAGGAGTGTAATTAAGAAGGCACGTGTCGCGAGGCACAGGACACGAGGGTACCCTTTAGCTGGCAGGGTCGACCTACTAATCTGGGCCGACTGTAATGTAACCTGGGGCGCTGGTCCACTTGAAGGGTCCCTGGGACACGCAAACGACTAGACACAAATCCAAGGACTCCCCATCTGTTCTCATATGTTCTGGACTTTCGTCCTCCCCCCCACTTCCCATACTTTCCCATACTTCCCTGGGGATCGACGATTCATTGTGTCTGTGTTGTTGCCCCTCCTGACCACTCCTTTAGATGGGCAAGCGCGTTCCACTACTCGCAAAAGAACTACTCGCAGATCGCCTGGATCCGCCGCGGGGGACTTTACGATCCATCACATCGAGGCTAACGTGTATTTGTCGGACGCGTGCGAATACTTAGGCACTGTGCGAGTGCTGGACCGCGCTTGGTGATCGGAGGGGGCCACGCGAATGCCACTGCCACCATGGCCAAGAGTGGACCAGACATCCGCTGACCCTTGCTTCCCTGATCACTAGATACTGGAATCTTCCAGTCGCGACCGACGAGAACGGTCGCGACCGATGTTGCTTCACGATTCGGTATCGGTCGCGACCGATCTGCTTCAAGATCGGTCGCGATCTGTGGTCGCGACCGATTTGGAATGCCGATCGGTCGCTACCAAAAAAAGGCATCCAATGACTACCTACCAGACCACCCCAACCCAACCCGAAGACCCGAATTTCGGGCGGGGGGGGGCATGGGCTCTATGTGGTTTTTGTTCCGATGATCCCGGACCCCCCCACCCACTGGAAATGG